TACGTATAATTTTTATATGTATATAATTTATTGTAAAATATCTATAATATGTATTATATTGGAAATAAAGTTACTAAATTTCAGAAAATATTCTAGATCATAATGTGTATGCAACAAGAAGATTATAAGTCAACAAATTATTATTTTGTTTGTAATAATTTTTGTTAACACTTAACAGTTTCACAACAATAGACATTGAAATTAAAGTTATAAATTTTAAATGACGGTATATTGTATACTTTTTATCAAATAAGAATGATCTAAAATATGCAATTAAAAAATAGGTAAATATAGAGAATGTTAAATATTATCGTTGATCTCGCTATTTTTTTCTAACATCCTGTCTAAATTTAAGAAATCGGTGAGTCCTGATAATATAAGTCCATATTTAACTAATCAATTAAAAAATTAGTAATATTTTATTGTTAAGAAGAAATTACGAAATGATATACTAATATTAATTTTTTAATGAACGAAGCAGCTCGATTTGCGACCAATAAAAATTTGCGTAACAGAATTCACGTACAAATCGCACGCCAAATCAGTTTTCAACTGTTTCAAATTTGTTTATATAACCTTTGACATATTCCTTGCCGTTTGACTTAACTTTAGTAAAGTGTTTATAGGAATCCAATAGAAAAGGCATTAATTGTTAATCTAAAATTAAATTTTTATTTTCAAATTTTTTTATAATTGTACAAATATCTGTAAATATAGATCCACTCGCTCTTCTATACATGTGTTTGCTACCTTCCGGTTTCTGAATAGCAGAAGACATTGTCTCGCAGGAACCAATCACGATCGAAGACCGTTTTTCTCACCTCGGTTTTTGGTATTCCTCTGACGTACGTAACTTTAGGTGGTGGAGGTTCATTTTTTTTCTTGCAAAATTCTTTAAAATAATGGCAGCCCAGTGGATACGAACCGCAGTAAGTTATGAACATATTGAGAAATCCTTGCGACAATCCATGTCTTCCACATAACCCAGCTTGTTCCCAAATGAAAGGTTAGAATCCATGAAAGAGTTTCATACCAGTCTATTCGATTGTAATTTCTTAGCAGAGTTCTATTCTTACTTTTTATACGTTTTTCCTCTTAGATTTGGTAATATCGATACATTTCTATGTTTCTGCCAGCCTATTTTATGAAATAAAATGTTATCAATGCCATGTCCATTTTGATAACCGTGAATTATACGAACATTTTATTAACAGGTTCCGAAAATTGGCAGTGTCCGTCTCTACAGCAGTAAAGTTCACAAATGTACTCTGATTCCTGGGGATGGTATCGGACCGGAAATCTCTGCCGCTGTCCAAAAGATTTTCGATGCTGCCAAGGTACAATGAGTTTTTCTCACATAAAATTGTAACTTAATAGTCGTTGTCTTTGCACGAGATTTTTATTTACATGCCAGTTCGTCGAACGATCTATATAGACATGTTCATTGTGATACTTTTTTTTTTTTGTTACATTTTTGCACAATAGTAGTCATGCTCATAGTGTTTGTGCTCTGTTGTTTATGGATTACTTATTGTATGAACCTTACAAGGTGACCCTATTTGTCCTACTACTAACCTTAAGGAGTTTATTTTAATCTTACTCTTATACAGGTTGATCCAATTGTAGGCTAATTCAGTCTGCTCTTATAGTAGCTAAGGTATGTTTTTTTAATTTGTATATTTTTTGTACAATGTAAACAGATGACATGTTCGTACGGCATCCCTTTTAATTGATTGCATGTTGTTCCTTGGCTTCATTTGTGTGTACAGATAATTGTTTTAATTCCATCGAAGAACAACGTAACGTATCGTAGTTGCTTTAACAGTATCAATCATACGTTTCGTATTGCATAACACTATTACTCAACTTCTCCTATTTACTAGATAATATCGATATGCCTTGCTTTTTTTAAAAGTTTACAAAAGCGAAAGTGTATATGAATGTTCTTTAGTAGGTTTAATCTTTAATGTAATGATTAATTTAAAATATTTTTATTTGTCTTACACAAATTTACATTTATAAAGCTGTCTTATATACTAGGTGCCGATAGAATGGGAATCTGTCGATGTAACACCGGTAAAAGGTCCTGATGGTAAATTTGGTATTCCACAAGCTGCCATTGATTCAGTTAATAGGAATAAAATTGGTTTGAAAGGTCCTTTGATGACACCAATTGGAAAGGGACACAGATCTTTGAATCTTGCTCTGAGAAAGTAAGCCTGCCTTATCTTTTGTGTAATTAAAACCAATCTAATTCGCTTATCATATATACATGGGTATACTATGTTGGCTTTGATGATATATATCTTACATTGTTTGAGTTACATAATCGTGAATATCATTGCAGTCGTATGTTGTTCGAATTAATTGAAATAAGTATGCGCTATAAATACTTTTAAGACGATAAATCATTTGCATTACTCAATTAACGATCATCCTTTTTCCTCTTTTTCAGAGAATTCAACTTGTATGCCAACGTTCGACCCTGTCGCTCCCTAGAAGGTTACAAAACGCTGTATGATAATGTCGATGTTGTTACAATCAGAGAAAATACAGAAGGAGAGTACTCTGGTATTGAACACGAAATTGTCGAGGGAGTTGTACAGTCTATTAAGCTGATTACAGAAGAAGCTTCTAGTAGAGTAGCAGAATTTGCTTTCCAATATGCTCAGGATAATAATAGGAAAAAGGTGTGTAATATATCATGACACCATTGTTGTTAAAAATCCATGGAATGTTAAATAAGTATTGATCTTTTCACAGGTAACTGCTGTACACAAAGCTAACATTATGAGAATGTCAGACGGTTTGTTCTTGAGGTGCTGTCGTGATGCTGCTCAAAAATTCCCTAATATTAAGTTTGAAGAAAGATACTTGGACACAGTTTGTTTAAACATGGTCCAAGATCCCAGCCAATATGACGTACTTGTAATGCCCAATTTGTACGGTGACATTCTGTCCGATATGTGTGCTGGTCTCGTAGGAGGACTTGGTCTCACACCCAGTGGAAATATCGGCTTGAATGGTGCTTTGTTCGAATCTGTATGTACACGAAACTAATAATCATTCTTTATTGCAAGCGATAGAATCGTAGTTAATATTTTTACTTATAAAACAGGTGCACGGAACTGCTCCCGATATTGCAGGCCAGGACAAAGCTAATCCTACCGCGTTATTGCTCTCTGCTGTAATGATGCTCAAATATATGGGTTTGAATAAATACGGGAACATCATCGAAAAGGCTGCTTACGAAACTATTAAAGAAGGTAAATCACTGACCGGCGATCTTGGTGGAACGGCGAAGTGCAGCGATTACACCAATGAAATCTGCAAAAAGGTTGCAGCCATGTCGAAGTAAAATAACTCAAAGTTTATGAAAAATAAACTGCCAAATACTCGTAGAAATGTTGCGCATGAGTAATCTTGTATTCGACCGTCTCTGTAATTACTGTTTTCTAAAAGCATTCTCAGCGTACATATTCAGGGTAGGTCTGCAATTTAATTGACCGTATTTCGAGTATTATACGAGTTGTAGAAAAAAGTGTCTTGATCATTGTTTACACACAAACACACATTTAGATAATTTTTTCCAAGTACTTGTTTATCTAGTTTATCGTAATATAATGTTACTTGACTTCGTGGAGTTTGCTAACAGTGTAATGGCATTTAATATTATTTTATTGGTATCGTATCGAACACACACGCAGTCTAACAGCGTGTACGGACTGAATATCCTATATATGCCTGTTACACTGTATCTGTTGTTGTTGGCGGAAGATTTTCGTAGAATTTGTAAAAAAAAGCGATTAGATATGTAAATTAATCTAGGAACAGTATATAATACCTTTAAATGATATTGTTATGAAAGAAGCATGGTCTCCGAAACGAGTTTCAAAAATCAACCTTGCGCAGTATTACACATTAATAAAATATTAGAAATCGAACAAAAAGCTTCTTTACTTGACCTTAAAGAAATCATGGTAGTACATTAAAGATGCAAAGTGTCAAGAATGTGCAGTATTACGTTAACAGAGATTACAATTCGACACGTTTTTTTGTCTTTTTAATTTGACCCATAAAGCCGTTGAAACCCATGTTGTTATGTACGTTATGCTTTTTTTAACTACCTCACGCCGATAAAACATGATAATAAATAAACAATATTCATTTGAAACAAATGAGAAACGTGTTTATACCACCATAAAGATAGCAATGTTCACAATATTCTTTGAAAGGAGAATGAACTCGATAGAGTAGTTCGAGATAAAAGAAGTTCGTAAAACGATTCTTTCAGTACAAACATTGCATACTTCCACATCCAGCAAGTGTTACATTATAGCTTCCGTCCCCCTACCACTTCATAACTCCACCCACCATTTCCCCCTTTCTTTATGGCGCAGTATGCTTCTCAGGGAAAACTCTCAAGTATGAGAAAAGTTGTCGGCTATATTTCACCGGCGATGGCAGGGGGGGGGGGGGGGGGGGGAAAGGGCGGATTAAAAAGAGCGTGTTTCCTTCGCGATTCCCGCGCAGCGATGTTAGGATGCGGGAGTGGAGAGGGGGAAACGGAGAGAGANCGGGGGGGGGGGGGGGGGGGGGGGGGGGATGAGGAAAGGCTCGGTGTCATCTTCGCTGCTCGTTAATTCTTCCCGTGATTTATCGAGATTCCCCGGCCGAGTAATGACTGACTCTTTGTAAATTTTTGATATTAGATTTCCCTGTTGCGGCTGATTTATATACGAAAACGGACCACCATCGTATTAGAATTTTTCTCGCGATTGGCATGCAGTCGCATTTTCAATTTTCAAACTTCCTGATCAATTGATCATCCTGCTTTCTATTCTTTTTATTAGCCTTATATTAAATAAGAACATATATATAATAATAATTATTATATATATATATATGCATATATATATGCTCGAGCATAAAAGGTTTATCTATCGTGCACAGTGTACATTGATTACCGTTTCTGACACTGAAATTTCTATTTCAATGAAACAAATTCATGTTTAACCTTCGGAAGTCGAATGGTTTTCGACGAGTCATTCGGACTCATAACAAAGTTTGTGTTGTGTCAACATTGCTTTCGACATACCAGGCCGTCTTATCGCTCGCGGGACAAAATAACCCAGTATTCGACGGACGACGGTTAAGGAACATCTACGCCATTTTGATTTATTACATTATAAATATTTAATTTTCTAGCATCCAGTAAGTGAACTTATTATTTCTCGTAGCAGAGAGATTGGTAATCGAAAATTTATTCGCGATTATTATTAACTTATTAACATTATTAACTCTTTGCACTCGAGTGGTGACTCTGAGGCACCATTAAAATTGTTACATCATGTTCCAAGATAATTTTTATATTATAAAAGTCTAGACATGAAAGAATGGTTAAAAGTCTAATTGTTGCACGAGTCGCAAGACTATAAATTTCATATGCATAAAATGCAAGTTAAAAATTACAGTTAAAATAGCCTCGAGTGCAAAGGATTAAGAAATTGATCCAAACATTATCTCGTATGTGATATTCCTACGTATATTTTAACTAATATTAGGAATCAAGTGCAAAGTGATGAACGGGATCGAAGTAGAGAACGAGATCGCAATCGCGGATCAGACAGACAAAACCGCATAAATTCAACGAGTCGTGATCGGAGCAGAGAACGGAATGATCGAGGTGGCCGAAAAGCTTCGGATCGTCGGATTTATGTATCAAACATTCCCTGTGATTTTCGCTGGCNTATTTTCTATATATCTATATACAGAATGTATGTACAACAAACATGTTTCACAATTGCAGAAATTGCGTGATAATAAATGTTTTCAATATTGCTTCTTGTTCGAGAATCACCTAACATATTTGAAATTACATTTTTTTTTCGCAGCAGGAACTTATTTTTGGGTATAGTAGTTTCCGGTACGGTTTACCACTTCCGAGGTCGGCCATTTTATAAGACGCTTCGTGATCGCGTATGTTTGGATGCAGGGTGTCTTTTACTCTTTTTAGCTGCGAACTTTAGTATAAGTTCATTGTGTGATTATAAATTGTTTGCACAGTGAAAGAAGCCTCGACAATGATAAAACAAGAGGAGTAAGTATGAAATTTACATTTTTTTCAAAATTTAATCGAACGTATCTTTGTCGGCATGTGAAATCACGTATAATTAGAGTAAACCGACGCTAATGTGTCCGGATATATCGGCAACGTGATTTAGAGAATGAATATGCTTAATTACGTAGCTCCGATCAAAATTTACGCAGATTGTACGCTGGAAAAAGCTAACACAACCTGTGTTGTTGACGCAGTTGAAGATAACAGTTACCAAACATTATCTCGTATGTGATATTCCTATGTATATTTTAACTAATATTAGGAATCAAGTGCAAAATGATGAACGGGATCGAAGTAGAGAACGAGATCGCAATCGCAGATCAGACAGACAAAACCGCATAAATTCAACGAGTCGTGATCGGAGCAGAGAACGGAATGATCGAGGTGGCCGAAAAGCTTCGGATCGTCGGATTTATGTATCAAACATTCCCTGTGATTTTCGCTGGCAAGATCTTAAGGATCTTTTCCGGACCGAGGTTGGAAAAGTTGCGCATGTTGAACTTTTCACTGACGAAAATGACAAACCGAGAGGTTGTGGAATCGTGGAATTTGAAGATTTAGACTCTGTGAAAATAGCTGTGGAAAAAATGCACAGATATGATATTAAGGGAAGAAAGCTAGTGGTGAAGGAGGTAGTTAGTATATTATTATTTTTTCAGTCAACTTATATTTTGAACTACGTTACATATTCAGTATTAGAAACAGTTTCTAAAATTTACTCATTTTAGGACTTTGATATCGAACGTGACAAATATGGTCGGTTAGCCACTGCTCGTAACAATGATAGAATCCGTGATGACAGATTCAGAGATCCACCACGACCACAAGGAGGTGGACGACAAAATATGAATGTTCCCACTGGTGGTGGCGGTGGTGGTGGCGGAGGTGGTGATAATAAATTTGGAAATACTTATGGTTTAAGTACTCAATTTTTAGAATCATTATGCATTAATGGACCTTTAGTCACTAGAGTATTTGTGGCAAATGTAAGTTCAGTTTAACGTAAAGATTATATTAATTAAATAGAAAAGGTGAAGAGATGACCTAAATATTATGTACTGTATATTTAGCTTGATTACAAAGTGGATGAGAAAAAGCTATTGGAAGTATTTAAGTTAGCTGGTAAAGTACTGCAGAAGAAAACTAGTGGTGAAGGGTTAAGAAATTGATCCATTTTCTAATTGCGATAAGAGTGCGCTTCTCGTTTCTATAAAACGACATTTCTTGGTCGAGCACCGAAGGTGATTTTTCGTAGGATATGTAAAATCGCGGGCCCCTCGGCGGATCGTTTTACAAATCGCTTTTCGGGGGTAAGACTAACGAGTCGTCTTGACGGTTACAGGTCAAAGATGCATCAAGTGGAAAAGGTGCAAGGTGCATCAAACCCCTCCCCCGCCGGTTCCCCGCGGTGGGTAGTTACACAAAGGTGAAACACTCGGGCGAAGTGCGGAAAGCGACGCATGCATATTCAGCGGCGAGGCCGACGTAGTCATAGGAATAATAAAAATTCGAGGGTTGAAATTATTTAGATTTATGCCCGCTCTCTTGTCGTCGTGCCGGCGGTGACGAGAAGCGATTCGATTCCAGGGAACAAATTTCATGCATTATTCAGGACCTGCCGCAATGCACCCCAGTCAATGGAACCGATCCTTTGGAAAAAGTCGTTTTTAATCTCTCGCCGCGTTCCAATAATGCGCGTGCACCCGCTCGCGTTCCGCTTTCACCCCCTTTATGAGCGGAAACCGTGTTTTCTGCTTTTAATGCGGAAACGGGTTCGAACGCGAACAATACACGCAACGGGACCTATCCGTGTCTGTGAATAGGACAAGACACCGGTTTAGGAAACTGTGATTTAGTTTTCATCTACACGCGTAACGTAAGCGTTGCTTCGATAATTCGGAAGAATCCGCGAAATTTCGACGTGCGACGCGAAATGCAAAAATTTGTATTCATTCACGTCAGGGGTGTCAAACTCGAAAGCTATCTTGGGCCAAATAAACAATGCGTAACTTTAGGTGGGCCGCAAAAAAAAGTCAATGTTCATATAAACAAATATTTGTATTTTGACTAGTACATTGTAATAAACGTATATAAAGTTAAATTATTGTTTACGTCCTGATACTTGACATCTCTTCTCTGATACTATCTTTCTTATTTCGGGAGAAATTTGATTGGCCGAGACTACTTTCAACATTTCTAATTCACATTTCTATTTTATTTTTACTTTGCGTAAAATTTGTTATATCTTGTTCTAAGATAATTTCTATGTTGACAAAGTTTAAAAAATTGTTAAAAGTGTAACTGTTGTGATGTTCACGGAACATCAAAAGTGCCTTCTGAAAGTTCGCGGTGCAAATATCGAGCAGCGCGATTAACCCTTTGCACACGAGCGGTGATTCGAAGGCACCGCTAAAATTTGTTATATTTCGTTCTAAGATAATTTCTATGTTGACAAAGCTCAGATTTAAAAAATTGTTAAAAGTGTAACCGTTGTGTGAGTCACAGGACACAATTTCACACGCATAAAATGCACTTTCTCGTAGAAAATGAAAATTCTATAAGTCAGAAAATTTATTTTAAATTTTCCATTGAAATATTGAGTTGGCAACTAAGTAATTGCCGATTTCAGTTCTAGATGTCTCTCACTCCCATTTTTATGATATCCGTAAACGTTATATTATAAAATTATTATTATTATTATGTTATTTTTTATTGTCCGCGAATGTTAGCAACTGGACAAATTGAATGCAGCGGTCAAGGAAAAGCGACCAGAATTGGTCGATCGTAAAGGTGTCATTTTCCAGCAGGACAATGCTAGGCCGCACACGTCTTTGTCCACTCGACAAAAATTCATGGATATTGGTTGGGAATCGATGTTACACCCACCATATAGCCCTGATCTCGCGCCATCGGATCACCACTTATTTCGATCCCTGGACAACTCCCTTCGTGGTAAAACTTTTAACGACGATGACGCTGTAAAATCTCACTTAACTCAGTTTTTGGCCGAAAAGGATCAGACTTTCTACGAGCGTGGACTTTTCAAGTTGTCGGAGAGATGGCAAAAGGTCGTCGAACCAAATGGAAAATACATTACGGATTAAACTTCGTTCCAAGTAAAAAAAAATTTTTTATTTCATCGAATAAATCGGCAACTACTTAATTGCCAATCCAATAGCTTCGAATGCAAAGGGTTAATATTATTGCTTTTATACAAGAAGACGATACAGGCCGAGTTCGTCGCGTTCGTCGTGGCGCAGTCGGTGCTGAAATCGTTAATCGTTTCGTGGATCGATCCGTAATCTTCTTACAGCGGATAAACGTGTCTCGCAGCAGCTGCAACGGGAAAGGTCTTAAGTCGACGTTTTCGTTGGTGCTCGGCCGTCGCACTCAGTCGAGCACGGTTCTCCATTCGATCGGCATTTCCTTGAAACAATGAGGGGAAACCAAGGAGTTCTAGCCGTCCTCGCGATCTTCGTCGTTGCTGTCCATGGACGAGTTTATTACTTACAGAACCCGGAAGCGGACCGATACGCTGGCTTAACTTATCCCATTCCGAACGAACAATCTTCCCGCGATCTAGATCTTAGCTTCTCCGCCGGGGATCCGATCGAAATCGATGACAGCGTTCAGCCCGTTAAAAAGGTGAGCTTTTACTTTGAATCTTGAGCACGGTTTTTAATGTTAAAATGTACTTTACATTTAATATATTATATTTATATAATTATAATATATTATTAATTCTAATATTAATAATATATTAATTAATATATTAATTATAATTATTTATAATTATACTTTACATTAATTGCTACGCGACTTTAGATTACATAAAAGTGGATTCTCAGGGTCAAGAAATTGTAACATGTTTTTCTTCGAATATCTGTTCTTCATTCTTTGCGAGAATCTCGCCTAAAAAGGCGAGCTAATTCTGTTGTTTGTTAAACGATGCCATAAGCGACTATAAGCGGCCATTTCAATTATGAAATTGACGTCAACGAGTGTCGACAAGCAGTCGAATATTGCGTTCAATCCTGTTTTATAAATCTATATAATATATATTAACCCTTTCCACTCGAACGGCGACTCCAAGGCGCCATTAAAAATTGTTACGTCACGTTTCGAAATAATTTTATTAATCAAATTCGTTCATATTTGAAGAACTGTTCGAAAGAAAACTGTTGCAACAATCACAAAATTCAATTTCATACATATAAAATGCATTAGGTTATGTAAAATGGAAATACGGTGGGTCAGAAAAACTATATTAAATTTTGCGTTAGTTTGGCTTCGAGTGCGAAGGGTTAATGTATATAATATATGTTATATATAATATCTATACATATATATCTATATATATATATATATATATATCTATATATGTATATAAATATATATCTATACATATCTATACATAATATCTATACATAATAAGGAAGAATTTCTGGCCATTATTCGGAATTTTCAACGACTCATGATAATCCGATAAATTAATATCTGCGAAACGATCGATAATTAATTGCAACGCGTAAAATTCGTCTTCTAATAAAATTGTAAAAATAGACGCTCGCGTCCCTGGATAGTTGTTAATTATTTTTACGCGCGCATACGCGAACGTTAAATCAATTTCACCGTTCCTGCGACGAGGAGGTACATTAATTTCGGTGTAAATCGAAGCACGGTGGAACAATATTTACAAAAACGATATCGTTTTCGCGATCTGCAAACTGAATGTTGTAAACGGTCTAATATTTTTCGACGGCGTTGCGCGTATTTGTTCGCGCCGCAACGGAAATATAAGCTCGATCTAAACGTAACTTTATCGGGCTAAACATCCTCGACGAATTGAAAATAGTTTGTCTTTCGATGGCCGCGAACGGATCCCCGGCGTCGACACGGTGATAGCCGTTTAATTAAACGAGCACGAAGAGTGGCGCCGTTAATCCGGTTAATGGCGAAACGTCCGGCGAATAAATATTAGCCGCGGGCTCGGGATGTTAATTGCAACGCAGTGCCATGATTGTAGCGTTAATGTTCAAATTAGGTGTACACGCTGGTCGCGCCGGCAAAGCCGCTCATCGAGGTGAACAAAGAGGAGTTACCGAGCGCTCGATACAAATTGGTTGAGGCACCTATTAAGAGATTTGCTGGTTTGGACGACGTCATCGTTCTCCCAGAACCGGGCCGCAAAACGGTGAAAATCGATGGGAACAACAAGGGAGAAGTGATCTTGGAACTCCGTGTTATCGCTAATCACGACAGCGCTTGACCAAACTCTCTGAAAGGGGGTGATAACCAGCGACGGAATCAGCCGTGCCGAGAGGTAACGAATATAACAAGGTAGTAAACCAAGTCGGACCATAAACGGAAGTAGTTTTTCGGAGTCGGGAACGTCGTCGAGATTTTAGAAATTTACTTGCTAATTCGCGTAGCATATTAATTGCTATTTGTATATTGCTATTTATTTTTAATTTAGCGTTTATTATTTATTATATTTGGCAATTTATTTTAATATAAATATTTTATATTTAGCAATTTATTATATTTAGTATAAACGAAAGTAGTTTTTCGGAGTCGGGAACGTCGTCGAGATTTTAGAAATTTATTTGCTAATTCGCGTAGCATATTAATTGCTATTTGTATATTGCTATTTATTTTTAATTTAGCATTTATTATTTATTATATTTGGAAATTTATTTTAATATAGATATTTTATATTTAGCAATTTATTTAGCTATTTATTATATTTAGCATAAACGGAAGTAGTTTTTCGTAGTCGGGAACACCGTCAAGATTTTAGAAATTTATTCGCGTTGCAAATTAATTGCTATTTGTATACTGCTATTTATTTATGTTTAGCATTTATTGACTGTCGATTTGACTGTCGGTTGTTTATTAAACTGCCATTTTTGCATCATGCTTATTTTTATATTCAAGTATATCCGCATCGCAAATGTATTTAATGCCGAGCAGATATATTTGCAATAATAAATTGTTCGCTATCGTGTACTATTCTTTTTTATATAACGTACGTATCTTTTTTGCTGTAGAAGATTTAAACCTTCAAATTTTATTCAGTGTAGAGCAAACACGTGGCTGATTGCGAACACGTGATATGTAAAAATCGAAACTGGATTTGTGAAATCATTGTTGTTTCCATCGGTTTTATTCTAATCCGAACTCATTGTATCGCAAAAATATATTTGGTTTGTATATTCTCTGTTGTAATTTACACTGTGTTTCGGCACGATCGTGTGTAACAATTTATGCGGTATATAAATCGCTTGATTACATGGCTACGATTAGTGAAAACAGTGAGCAATGGGTGAACTTTTGAAAAAATCAATTTTTCTCCCTGAAATTAACGAGGTTATTTTAACGTTTTCTTCTCATTTCCTCGGTTTTTTAACGAGGTCCTCGAAGCTTATTCGACACCGATTG